AAAAGAGGCTGTAAGAAGATAAAAATAAAAATAACATCCAACCCGTTTTCTGGTTTATTAGTACAAAATAGAGGGGGAAAATAATTTCCTCATAAATAAAAATACGTCATCATTTTATTATTTAAAGGGTCATATCGAATCAATTCTGTCTATAAAATAAATGCTATGTATCTAATTGGAAGTATTTATAAGAAGTATAATTAAGATTATAAAACAGAACAATTAATAAGTCCAGATAGAGCTCTAAAAGTAAATACAAAAAAAAAAAAAAAAAAAATGGTTAATTCCCGATGCAAAACGGAGGTCGAAATTACCGCAACGAAGTGGAGGTCAAATTTCGGTCACGTTTTGTCTTGGGAATTAGACAACGCCTGAATCGGTCGGCTACTTACTCCGCTGTTTTCACTGACTAGGAGCATTGCCCTTTTCTCGGTTGACTAAAATGACAGTGATGTGCTAAGTGCACTATCGGGTTTTTTTTTTTTTTTTTTTTTTTTTTTTGCCCACTTTCGGTGTTTTTTTCTTTCTTTGCCTAAACCCAGTACACTAACAACACACAATGTCAAGTCAAAACATTGTTATAATAGAAGACTACATTCCATAAGAAATGCCGAATTATATCAAAACGTAGGATGTAGCCGATTGTTAAATAACTGAATATGATTTGTGGTTCTCAAGATGTCTTAAGCTTTACGAAAAGTGGAACAACAAAAATGCTCATGGGAAAAAAAAGAACTATACGCCGTTTATTGTATGCTGGAACAAGATCCCAACTAAACCTCATTATGAAAACACTGAAAAGCTATTTATCAAGGCTACGCCTAGTGGGAGACATAAATTATAGACAAGCGTACTCGAATATAAACAAGGTATAATTATCTTCTGTTGAGGTTATAAAAAGGAGGCACGACTCGATTGCATTTTATGTAGCTTATGAAATGGTCAAAAAGTTGAAGGACGTGAAGACTATTGAGATCTTGGTTTGTCTTTGGAGAATCAGTCTGATAATATCCTAAAAAATACAAAAGAAGCTTGCTTTTCGAAGAGCAGGGTAGATGATTTAAAGGTAGTAAACGTAACGACATTCATTTTTCCGAAGTCTTTATACACACAAACTCTGTATTCGGTGATGAAGACATGTGTCAAATGAGATTCAGTTCTGACTTCATCAATTATATTTTTTTTTGTTGCTTTAGGTAAATTGGCTTACGGCGGACACTTTTTGATGTTATCCGATGCCGAACACTCTGGTAGCTCTTTTGAGTTCAATACTTTACGACTCTCATGCACTACTTCACCACCAAAAACCCTTTATTATTTTCATTTCCCTCATTCACAAAAATAGGAGCAAACCATTTTTTTTTGTTCGTATATCACCGCAAAGTAATACCTGATCCATTGTTTGATTTAAACTTATAGTTACAAATAATTTTCAAGAGATAAATAAACTTCCATATGTCTTGATTAAAAGAATTCAAATCATGTTCTATAAATGGACATATAGCATTTTGCTTGATCGTGATGGTGCTTCAGCCAAACGTTATGCAGGAATTTCGTCTAGATTTGATTTGAGCTACTTTTAATATTTGTGTGCTTTGATGATGTAGTTATGCTGTAGCAGTTTATTCAGTGTTGATGTGTGCCATCTCTGATTTTTGATCAGTGCCCATCATGCGTCATGAGATAAATTCATAATTAAAAGAGAGGGGAAAATTACGTCGATTTAACACATAATTATTGGTCAACGTCGTTATCCACAGAAACGGAAAAGGTACTGGAGAATTTTATTTCCCGAGTTCGTTTGCCTTTTGTTAGATTTAAGCTTGTTGTTTTTCTTCTTGTTGAAGGATTAGAAACCAGTTTCCAAAATTGTCTTTTCCAAACACTGAAGAGGTGGAATATACGACATGAGGTGTAACTGAAGCGGTTTCGGGTCATGACGTCAAACTAGTGACTTTATTGGTCGCAGCATAAGGAGTGACGTGGGTTGAAATTTAAACGCTGCGTCTTCTTCTATTTTTGTACACCGACCAAAAAAACAGCTAAGGAATGACTATCATCGCAAGAGAGTATGTCAGATCTTATTCTGAACAACGTTGTTGTTAGTTAACAGTTTTCGCCTTTACGATTGACAGTCAATGTGTTTGCAAAAGCTAAAAATATTTTTTGAAGACGGCTTGTTGTCCTTTTGTGACTTGTCTATTCAAGCGCCAGCAAAAAAAAACGCACGTCTTTCATTTTTCCACATTCTCACAAGAAACATTGTTGGAAAGAAGTCCAACGTCATGCCACCTTTGAAAACTAGGTTGAACAGGTAAATATATTTGCATGGGGGATCGCAATCCTTTTTGTTCTAATTTCATTTTTAGCTTCTCAAATTTTAAAACATTTTCCACCGTTTATTAGGTAGTTTGGGTACTTGATCTTGAGATCCGAAACTTATAACTGCACCATATTGACAACAGGTTCTCATAATACGGTCACTTTTGGTAAAGGATCCCAAGCGACAAATTGGAATTATAGGCCAATGTTAGAGTCTGTCTCTAGACGATGCAAAAGAAGATGAATTATTATTGAGGATCATGAAAACATTCAACGTCGATATCCCTTTAACGACGTACTTATTTACAATAAGCAGTACAATAGGTCTAATTGACAAAGGAGACCAGAAGAAGTCAAGGTCAAAACATATTGGTGAGTTCAAACATGCAGCAAATACAGCAAAAAGCAGCGGACTCAAACGAGAGGGAATGCAGAACACAGGAGGACAGAAGATTACAACGCATACAAAAATAATATTTCGAGAATAATCGTGTGATATCCCAACAAATAGAGGTATATTTCGACTTGATGATACGAGCATGATAAGAAATAGGACAATTACGCGTTGAAAAAGTAATGGGGGTACGAATGAAAAAAAAAGATGTACGTCTACGGTAAATATACTTCACAAGGGCAGGAGAGGATGCAAAAGTAGTGTTAGATAAAAGCGTGTAATTTTCTTGAATGTAAATTTCGTTGGAGGGTGTAATATAGAAAAATGACAATACCAATAACTTAGTATATAAAAAACAAAGAATGTGTTTGTTTTGTTTTCTCTTGTTTGTTTGATTAACTAAATATGTGTTGGACACGAGAGGAACTTTAAACTGTAGCCTTAAAAGATTTAATAATTGAATCCAGGTAATGGCAGTTGCAGCTATTTTTGCGAGTTATTTGGACAGGACGTGTAGTTAGCCCTTTGGTAAAAAGGAAAGGGCATTTAAAATAATATTCATAAGGATTTACGATACGGTAATTGTTTTCGTGTTTTGTAGATTTATTTCCTTTTACAGAATTCTCTTTTATGAATGACCAAATAATGATAAGGTCAACGTTTTGAAGCTTTCATACATGTTCTATAATGAGCACACCAAGTCTCTTTTAATAAATCCAGCGAACAAAAATTGCGTTTAAAGCTATTATGATTGATGTCGTTATCCTTATTTTACTACGAAAAAAAATCTTTCTCAAAGTACACAGTAGGCTTATTTTACGGTCTACCTCCAATTAGCTGTTGTGCCATAGTCAAAGCTTATGATTCAATCCTTTTTTGGCTGTGCCTAAGAGATCACATGCTGTAGTGATTGTCCGTTATGCGCTTTAAACCATGTAAAAATAAACAAATAAATATTGACTTGAAACTTTTGAAAGTGTCTGACCTGTTAATAGCGTATTGAGTAGAATATAAAAAGGATCACATACCCAAAAGTCAAACGTTTGGCGACGAGGTTCATGAGGATGAGAAATAATTTTAAATGACTTACATCAACAGTGAATGTCTTATACGTTCCGGCAAGTAGTATATAAGAGAAAGTGTTGTATATGGTATACCTCAAACGGTGTATACTGAGTCACTCAAAAATGTTTGTTATTACGCAGCTTTTCGATATAGCCACGAAAACACGTCTTAGGCTATGCTTAAGCGCACTTTGGCTGTTGATGAACGAAAGTCTTGGCGGATTTTCTGTTCAAACGTTCTATCGCAGTTGTATTTTTAGAAATTTAAAAATGGCTGTACCTGCGTCAGTTATTGTGTCTTTTTTTTTTGTTGTATTTAGTATTTCAGGTGTGTGATGTACGGTTCCACATCAATAATAAATTCATTTTAAAGAAAGAAATGAATACTTTAATTTCATACAGATAGTCATGTAAAAGATACGTTTGCTAAAAACGCAATTAGTGGATCCTAATTTTAAACATTATATACCCATAACGCTTTTGCGTACACACATAAAAAAGTGGAGGGGTATAAAATTGGTAACAAGCTCAAGTAACGCCCCTTCTAATTTACGTGAAACTGGTTAGGTTTACCATCTTTTGTTACCTTCTTTTAATTAAAACTCAGATCTCTAAGGGTTTTGGCGTCATCAAAATCCATGTTGGCTTTTGAATTCCAAAGGAACACTTTTTTTTCTGTAGGGAAGGGCAGCGCAGCTGTCTTTCGAAATTTATTTAATGTCCCGGTAAGACAAAAAGGCTGTTACTAAGGGGTGAGTCACAGCGGCGCACCAAATGGTAAAATGTTGCTAAAACACACCAAAAATTCACAATGAATGATTGTTAAAACTCACATTGAATGGTTGTGCGTTTTCTCATCCAATGGTGGTTTTTTACCGTTATACGCTGTTTATTTATGCATGTATATGGACCTTTTACCAATCGTACATTGCATTATTATTCGCACAGATGCATCCCTTTTACAAATACACACTTGATATTCAACACTAGTTTATTAATTGTTCACATGGATATGGTGCTTACATAGGAAATATGGTTTAAAAAGACGTTTAAATTTTGTTTAAAAATGATTTATTTTGAGACTTTAAACCGGAAGCAATTTTAAGTATACTATATGTTGTATCGCAGATGTATTGAATCATAGAAACAATAGAAATCCAATATTAGATCTCAGTAGACAGACTGGAGATCGTAATCATGGAAAGATTGTTATCAACGAATAAGAATACATGGATAAACATTTATTCAATTCAAATGGATAAACGATTGAATAGTAAATCCCGATTGGATCTACTATTAGTTTAGACACAGCTTCGTAAAAGTATAAATACAAGCTCATTCAACTCTTAATAAAAGGTTATCTTTACTTTGATTATTCATAAAGACCCATTTTGATATCTACGATATTACATTTTTTTTAATCTATATACAAATTTATCCTTTAATTTTTTATAAAAATTTTTTCATTCGCTATGTCTTCCAACAACAACACTGGTTCTCCCAACTCTGGTCTCTCCAACGCTGATCTGTCCAACTCTGGCTCTGTTAACCAGGATGTCTCCAACCCCAAGGTCAAGACCAATTTAGGTACTTCGGCTAGCCGTTATGCTACCGCTGAAGTTGAATCCTCCAAGACGGAATCCTCCAAGGCTAAGTCTGTTACCAAGTCAGGTTCTCGCAAAGGAAAGGAGAAGGCCCCGGTCAGTGTAAGTGAAGGGGAGGGAAAGAGAAAAGCCACTGCTAGTGGTGGGGTTTTTGAACCTCTTTTGGAATCTGAAGATTCAAGTGGCGATACCAGCCGCGACTCTGCCGATTCTCTGAGTGAGATCGGAGAGGATGATATGGATATCGATCCATTGGATATGTCCGATTTGGAGGAATCCCAGTTTGTGAAGACTTCCTTGGCTTGCTACAGGGTAGAAGTAGGAAGACTCACGAAGGATCTTGTGTTGAGAATGGTTAAGGGAGAGAATCCCGCTAAGATTGCAACACTTGAAGCGGAGCTTAACATGAAACAAAGAGCTCTGGACATTTTGCTTCGGTCCAACTCTTTGATGACTGTACCCGAGGCTGTTAAGCCAAAGGTGGTTCATAGCTTTGTGCCCCCGCAATTACCCATTATCTTTCAATGGCGCGGTAAGATCGTTAGTCGCCGTCACTATAAGTTTGGCGAGTTAAAGCCCAGTGACTGTTTTCAAAGATTTGAGGGAATTCTTGAGTCGCATGGTATGGACATTCAGGATAACTGGAGACGCTTGTTGCCAGCCTGTTTGGTCCATCGGGACATGACTGAGTTGTTGACGTCTTTTTTGAGGGATCGTAGTGCTAACCACACTTATGATCGATTCAAGCGTGTGTTCATTAACCGCTTTGGTCGTAATGAACAGGACGAGAAGATCGCTGCTACGAATAAATTACTCACTATGAGTATGAGTCGTTATGGTTCCCTAGATGCGTATACTGAGAAGTTCAACAAGTATCGTTCTCTATCAGGTATGACGGATGAGACAGTCTTGGTTGCAAGATATCTTAACGGACTGATTGAGGAGTTGAGAAGAGACATTAATAAATGTCTAATTGCTTCAGGTGAAGCAGCTCAATCCCTAGAGAAGATAGTTACGATTGCTCGTCGTTTGGTTCTGTCTGAAAATTATGAGATGACCAAGAAGCGTACGGGAAGTAACGAACGTAGAGAGGATAGCTCTCGTGATAAAAAGATGCGCAGTGCTCGCCGTTGCAAGAATCATCCTAACGCAACGGATCATTTTACCAGAGACTGCCATATTCCCAAGAAGGGTAAGCGTGGTGATGCTAAACCACCTGGTATCTGCTGGAGATGCTTGAAGGCTCCTTTCCCTGGTGACCATAAGTGTGTACCTGTGACCAAGAAGGATGGCAAGAAGACTCGTAGCAAGTATGCCAAGAAGAAGGATGAGGAGTCTGACAGTGATTCCAGAGAATCAAACAACAGTGATTCAATGGACACTGATGAAGAAGACGAGGCTGATAAGAAGTTTGCCAGCATGTCGATGGCTTCCATCAATAAAGGTAAGAAACCTATAGTTGAAAGTGACTTTGCAATTGCACCATCAGATTTACTAACCAACAAATTTATTTATGTTCCTATTAGAGTAAATGATGTGAAGTGCTGGGCGTTCGTTGATTCTGGCAGTAATTTTTCTATTATGTCAACACGATTAAATAAATTTTTAAATTTACCCATAAAGTCATGTTTCAAAAATAAGAGTACTATTAAGTTAGGGGAGAGTAAATCCGAAGTGAATCGTATAGGAAATACTAAAGATCCTGTAAAGCTTTTTTATAATAATATTACTCTTTATTCGAAAATGGAAATTTTAGATGTGAGAGAAGATGTAGATATAGTAATCGGTACAGATACCATGTATCAGTTAAAGATCAACATTACAGGCATTGTTTTAGACTGGGATTCGAATGATAATCATTGTTTACCACCACTAATTGACCCCAATGCTAATGCTCCTAATGATTCTCCATTTGGTACTGAACAAGAAAGGGAATTAGTGAAAGCACAATTAAAGCCGATCATTGAAGCAAATATTGCTATTGATCCTGCATCACATTGTACATTACCTAATTCACATATCAGTATTCCTACACGCCCAGATTATAAGTATGGTTATAGACGTCAATTCCCTATTGATGAGCTTATAAGAGTGTGGTAGATGAACAAATTAAAACTTGGTTGACTAATAGAGTCATAGAACCTAGTCCTCCCAATACGGCATATAATTCACCGATCTTCATTATTAAGCGTAAGAATCCCATTACGGGGGAGTACGATGGTAAAAAGACTCGTGCTATCTTAGATATTCGTATGACTAATGCTGCGTTAATCAAATCTAAGTTGGATCGATTTCAATTACCTCGTATAAGTGATATGCATTTAGAGATGGGAAACTCACAAATATTTACAATTATTGATCTATCAAATTGCTTCCACAGTTTTAAGATCAAGAAAGGTATTCATAGGCAAGTAACTAGTTTCACATACAATGGTCAGCAGTATATGTTCCGAAAAGCTCCATTTGGCCTTACTCATGTATCATCATTTGTAAGTAGATGTTTAACTACTTTATTTGCGGATTTAAAATACGTTTGTACATTCGTGGATGATATAACAATTCATACCAAGGCAGATATCCATTATCATGCAGAATGTGTCAGTGAGGTGTTACAAAGACTCACTAAGGCAAACTTAAAAATCAACCCTGATAAACTCCAATTATGTCAAACAAAGATCTATATTCTGGGATTTGTATTATCTGCTAATTATGGTTTAGTTGTGGATCACAGGAAAGTGAGTAATGTCTTGGATTGGCCACCAATTACTTCCGGTAAACAGCTTGGCATCATTCCTCGGATTGACAAACTACTTTCGATCGCATATTCCTAATTACAGTTTCCTATCCGCATGTCTTGATAAGTTGAAGAATAAACCTAATCTGAAAGAACTTTGGTCTAAAGAGCATGATGATGCTGTGAAAAAGTTAAAATTAGCGTTAGTATCTTCGGCAGTGTTAAGTGTTCCAGATCCTGATTACCCTTTCTGTGTTGTAACTGATAGTTCAGCATATGGTTACGGTGCGGCACTTTACCAAGTCATTAATAAAGAGGTCAAGTACATCGGGTTCATTGCTAGAACCATTAGCGATGTAGAAAGACGTTGGGGAAGTTTTCGCAGAGAATTAGCTGCAGTCGTATTCGCCTTTACCAAATTCAAACAATGGTTGAGAGGTAGAAAGTTCCACTTATTTGTTGATAATAAGAGTATTCTATATATTCATTCGAAAGAGAAGGTTAATTTAGCAGTTGAGAACTGGTATGAGTCAATTTACGAAATGGACTTTGATATTACCTTTTGTGCTGGTATCAAAAATATTTTAGCAGATAAGCTTTCAAGATTATTTATTCCTCATGATGATGAGAAAAATAATAGTGAAGTAATCTTTAAAAAATTTAAACATGCCAAAACAAGCGATGAGAAGAAAAAGAATACACAGAAAGGATTAGCACCCTTGTCTGAGCTCAAACATATCACTGAGAATGAGGGAGAACCGTCACGTAATTTATCTGATATTGTGCCACATATAGAACAAAACGATACAGATCTGGTTTTACAGGCTATTACTAGAAGCGCTAGTAAGAATAGAGCCGATAATGACTTGAGTAGTATTCCAGTAGTAAACAGCAAAGAGAATAAGGTTACTAAAGCGAAGCTTCAACAAGTAGTTGACACTATCCAGGAACAGAATAACGTCAATGAAGGGTTACTCAAGAAATTCACACAAAAGGAAATTTTGGCTAGTGATTTCATTATTCCAGAATCTTCTGAGGAAAGAGAAGATATTTTAATTAAGACCCACTTATTAGGGCATTATGGCGTGACAGCAATGGAAAAGTCCATTCATAATGATAACATGAATTGGCCAGGTCTAAGAAAAGATATCTTAAGAACTGTAGCATCGTGTAAAAGATGTAGGTTATTTAATAGAGGTCAAACAGTATACCACCCACCTACAAGTATCTTGCCCGATGGCGTGATGGATCATGTAGTCATGGATCTAGGAACGCTCAATATAACTTCACCTAGAGGAAATAATTTTATCCTTGTGATGGTAGATTTATTCTCTCGATTTACCATGTTAAGTGCTATACCTGATAAGCGTGCAACTACCATTGCGAAGCAACTTGTTCAGAACTTTTCTATTCTTGGATATAGTAAAATCATCAGCCATGATAGAGGCCTTGAATTTCACAATTCCTTAATTGACAGTTTAGTTAAACAATGTGGTATTGACCACAGGTTGTCTTCACCCTATAACCCATTAGGCAACGCTGCTAATGAGTCATTTGTTGGTATCACAAAACGCACACTTGTTAAAGTATTGGAAGGAAAGGAAGAAGACTGGGATCTTTTCCTACCTTCAGTGCAGTATGTCATGAATAATAAGTATTCTAGACAGCATAAGGCACGTCCTTTCGAAGTCATGTTTAATAGACAAGCTAATAAGTTTGTAGACTATCGTAATGTTACACCAGTATTGCATGATAGCGATTATATCAGTGCAGAATACATCCTCGAAAAGATGAAGGAAATCAATAGTATTGTGATTCCTGCTTTGAGGGGGGAAATGGCTGACCAACAGAAGAAGGATAATGAATATTTCATGAAGAAACATAGAATCAACCATGAATCATATCCTATTGGTACAGAAGTCATGATAAAGAATATGAATAAGAGTTCCAAGACTCAACCATATTATGAAGGGCCATTCACAGTTGCTAATATAGTCAGACCAGGACTATATGTATTAAAAGATACAACTGGTGAATTATATCCTAGAAATGTACCAACATCACACATTAAAAGAATTAATAGTGAAAAGGTATTAGGAGATGAAGAACATTTTGAAGTCTTAAGCATTATAGATCACAGAGGTGATAATGCATCCAATTATGAATATCTTGTCAGATGGAAAGATTATGGTGCGGAACACGACAGTTGGTTACCATCAGATAATCTTGATTCTAATGACGCAATTAAAACATATTGGAAAAGAAGAAATGTAGATCAAGCCCACATTGATCAGATTCAGTTAATTGGCAAAAACAAGCAAGATGTCGTTAAGCAACGTAAAACCAAGAGAAGGTCAAAGACATCCATAACTGAAAGAGATAACAAGAGATCCAAGAACTAGGTTCTACTATCAGTGTATCTTTTCTCTTATTATGCAGTAAGAGTTTTTATTGACTCAGATAGTTAAGGTTCACAATTCATGCATTAGTATTTTTTTATTTTTCTTTTTTCTTTTTTCTTTTTTTTTCTCAAGTCTTATCAAGATCTCAAATCAAACCAAATCAAATTGCAAAGTGTCTACTCTAAACTCTAATGGTCTGTGCTCTATACGTATCTCTCGGAAAGTCCCTATTTACAAGATAGACAAGCCTTAACTTAATCCAATTGTTTCCATGTTTGGTCGGGGATAATGTTGTATCGCAGATGTATTGAATCATAGAAACAATAGAAATCCAATA